GTTGGCTTTGAACTTGAGATGCTCCTGCCTCAGCCTCTTGAGCCATTACTATATGTGTTGCTTTTATTAATTAACTCTGGCCTTGAGCATTTTTCTTTAGTGTCCTTAATTTTTGTGAAATTGTTTATCTCTTTGTCCAACTTCTTGTTCTGTATAAATAGTATTGTTTTAAATTTAAAATTGATTTTTTATACTTGATATATAGAAAAATAATGGATTTTTGCATATTAAGCTCATGTGTGTGTTGCTACATTCCAGTATTAATTCCCAGAGTTTTTGTTGGTTCTTTGGGATTTTGTAGGTAGGCCATAATGGCATGTATGAAGAGTCATTTTTTATTTGTTTCTTCTCAGTCTGAATGCCTATCATTATTATTTCTTATGCTTTCTCTGTACCCATTGATTTGATCTTAGAATTTTGTTGTTTAGCCGGTTGAGGTGATCAATTACATGAGTTGACTTTTAAATGTTTGGTCGTTTTTAAATACTTATAGGTTGTGGATCAAATGTAGATGCTTGCGTAGGATATTTGAAGCACTGGGTTTGATTCTCAGCACTGCGTTTCAATAAATAAAATAAAGGTCTATCAACAACTAAATTATTTTTTGGAGGGGGGTTCTGGGGATTGAACACATGCCCTTATGCAAGGCAAGCACTCTACCAGGTGAGCTACAATCCTAGCCCAATAACTAAATATTTTTTAAAAACTACTTATAATTCCTATTTGGTTTTATTGGATCATTCTGTTTGTTAAAGGATAGATGTAATTTGCCATTATTCGTTCAATATTTTTTCTTTTTTCTTATTTATTTATTTATTTATTTATGCAGTGCTGGGGATCAAAGCCAGAGCCTCACACATGCTAAGAAGATGCTATACCACTGAGCTTGAAGATTCTTTCATCTTTATTCTTAGAAGCAGTTTGTCTTCTCTCCCCCTACTCTGTACTGGGATTGAAACTCAGGGCACTCTCACTGAACTATGCTCCTTGACTTTATTCATTTATTTTTGTTGTTTCTTATAATGTCTGTCTCATTTTGTTTCTTGGCACTGTGGACCTCATACATTATGAAGTAGTACTTTTGCATCTCTTACCTGGAAGACATTGTAATGATTGGTGTTCTTAAATGTTAGAATAAGCCCAAAAGACAAGGTGGACCTGATTCTCCCTGTTTTTGAGTTGCTATTGTTTCAATTTGTGTAATGCATAGAGCCTTATTTACATTGTTTATCTTTTCTCATGTGAGTTTTTCTGGATTGTTTCTTTCCAGAAATTGTTTGACTTCTTCCAAGTTATTTTTCTGTGCTTTATTTAAAATTATCTTGCTCTTGTTCTGCCAGTTATCCAATGTGGTGCACCAGACTGTTTAGTTGAGGTCTTTTTTATTTTCTGATATAAGCATTGTTGCAAATTTCTCCCTATGCACTGCTTTTTCTGTATCTCACAAGAGACATGTTTGTTCATTTTCACATATTTTGAAATACTTAAATTCCTTTGATGTGTATACTATTCAGCTATGTATTGTGTGATTTTTGGACATTTTCTAGCTATTTTATGCTATTGATGGCTGGTTTCTTTTCAGTATGGTCTGAAAGTGAGCAACTGATTTCTTGCTGAGACCCATGCAGCATCAACAAAGGATCTCAAGTTGGCAATGGGAGATGGAGAAAAACCCAGAAACAAAGAGAACAGAGGCATTTTTAAGCACAGCTGGGGCCAGGTTGGACACTGCCCTCTGATAGTGGAACAGTGACCCAGAAGTAGCTTGGCAAGTTGATTATGTAGGGTTTTCTAATCAGGAAGTTTAGCTTTATCAGGGCACTGTAAATTGTTCAAGGCTTATGAGCTATTAAGAGGCTTCTTTGTGCACTATAAAGTTATAAGCTAGAAACTCTTTGCAGCTATCCTGCTGTGCCCAGAAAACGCACTGTACTGGAACATTTGGTAACTGTTAGCATCAGAGCCAAGTTCAAGGCTGTTCACATCCATGCGTTTTGGCAAGAAATGTTTCCCAGGCTTGGCTTTTGCCAACCACATAGGATAAGAAATGACCAGGGCTTGGCCATTCTCCACAATTTGTGTTTCTTTGGTTTGTTAAGGTATGTCTTGTAACATGGTCCATGTTGGTAAAGATTCTGTATTGTGGTGGAGCAGTATGGGAACTTTGGCAGTTTAGGAGCTGACAGGCTGTGGTTTTGCCTGTGGACACACAGAAACTGTCTTACTGACATTTAAACCTAGAGGCTTGAGGTGGCCAACAGGTACCTGTAAATCATAACTTCAGTAACTAAAGCAGTAAACCAAGCAACAGGGACAGAACAATCCTATTTTAGGTTTAATGCAGTAAAAGTCCCTAAGCAGTAAGAGCTGAGAGTCCCTGGGATATTGACAAGCTTGCATCCATATTAAAAATGTAGAATGCACCTTCCAGAAGGATTGCACCAAATCCCTTGCCTTAATGTGCCCCAAATGTACTTATGTAAAAAGTAAAAGCCCTGTTGTGCTCAGGGCTCAGACTTTGGGAATTATCCCTCTGGGCTGTGGCAACAGGAACAATGTATTGCTTCCAGATCTCAGTGTCCTGAACCTCATTTCCCGCTATAGTGTGATCTTGACAAGAATTTGTACTGAGGCTTGGGATGTGGCTTAGTGGTAGACACACATAGCTAGTATTTGCAAAGCCTTGGATTCAATCTCCAACACTACAAAAGGAACAGGCAGGAGAACGTGCACTCCATAGTGGTTCTACCTGAGCAGATGTCTCTAGTTGATGCCTGATGCTGTTGATTTCAACTATTCCAGTACTGATTTTCTGACTTCTTGATCTGTCCCTTGCTGATAGAGATGAGTTGAAATCTGAAGGTATAATTGTGATCTGTGATTTTCCCTTCAGTTCCATGTTTTACCTCATGTGATTTGATGCTCTGTTTAGGAGTGTATATATTAAGGATTGTTATGTTTTCTTAGAGAATCAACTGTTCTATCATTATTTAATCCCTTTATTCCTTATTTTGTTTGAGATACAGCTTGATTAGTACAGCATTAAGAGAAATTTTAAAGTTATTTTTGGATCAATACAAGAATGGGCATAACTTTATAATTAATTCATCTATGTTTTCATATTGATCTATTTTGAAAATATCTATATATTGTTAATAGATAAAAATGGAATTTATTTGTAATTTCAAACATGGTGCTTTCAATCTGATGTCATGGGGCATACCTGTAATCCATCCACTTGAATGGCGTAGGAGGAAGATAGCAAATCCAAGACCAACCTATGCACCTTGGACCCTGTCTCAAAATAAAAATTTAAAAATGGCTTGGGGATGTAACTTACAACTGAATGTTCCTGGTTTCAACCCATGTAAACACCTCTCCCCCCGCCTCTCTTTCTCTCTCTCCCTCCCCACCTTCCTCCATCTCTCTCTAACACACACACACACACACACACACACACAATGTAGCCTTTTTTGTGCATGTGTGAGATGGTAGGCATTGAACCTGGGGCCTTGTGCATGTGAAGCAAGCACTCCAGCAACTGACCTATATCCCCAGCCTTTAACCATTGTTGAATGGCTAAATTGAGCTAATTACCAAATACATTGCTTCACATACATTTTTTTTGTGGGGTGGGGATGAGGGAACTGTAAACATACTTCTCTAATGATTTCTCATAGTACTAGATTTCTTGAATTTATTTCTCATATATAAGAAAAGTTTTGACTCTTGACCTGATGTCTTGATAGTTAAAACTTTTTTTTTCATAAAGTATACAAGGGTGGATCTTGTTTTCTACCATTCTGTCTGTAGAGCATTCACATTTAAAGTGATTATTGATGTGGTTGGATTAATATATACCATATTTGTAAACTACTTTCTGTTCGTTTTACATCTCTGTTCCTACATCTTTTTGCTTCTCCCTAAAGAACTTCTTTCCAAAAGGTAGACAAGGAGATACACTGGTGAAACAGTCTCTAAATTTTTTTCTTGTTCTTTTCCTTCTTCAGACTGTATAATTTCAATCATTTAACTTCATCTTAACTGATTCTTTGTTCTCTTTGCTCCAGTATGCCATGGAACACCTATAATGATGGTTTCATATAATTGTTTTATTTGGAACCTGCAATTTACTCTATGGTCTTTTTGTTTGGTTGGTTGCTTTTTTGTTTGGTGGGACTGAGGATTTAAGCTTTATCATAGAGCTATACCCCCAGCCCTTCTTCATGTTTTGTTTAGAGTTTCAGTGTTGCTGAGTTGCCAAGGCTGGCCTTGAACTTATGTTCCTTTTGCCTTAGTCTGCTGACTCAGTGGGATTACAGGAGTGCACCACTTGCCCAATGAATGTCTTTGTCTTCCAAATTGTATGGCTTCGAAACTTGAATTTACAGTGTCAGTGATATGCATCAATTTATCCTCCATTTATGTATAAACCTCGGTTGTTTTGCTATGATCTTCAATATTTATATGTATTTGGCTTTTTCCTCAAACAAGGACACAGCTCTCTTTTTGGTGTTTTATATTGAGTTAAAATGTTTACTGTATGTAAACAAAATAAATGTATTCATTTATTTTTGTTCTGCATATCAATCTTATGTCTGTGTTCATGGTGGGGTTAGTGGGGACTGAACCCTAGGCTTTTCACATGCTAGGCAACTGCTCTCACACTGGCCTAACATAACGTCTCCAGCCCTTTTTCTTTTGGGGTGGGGATATCAGGGATTGAACTCAGGGGCAGTCAACTACTGAGCCACATCCCCAGCCCTATTTTATATTTTATGTAGAGACAGGGTCTCACTGAGTTACTTAGGGCCTCGCTGAGTTGCTGAGGCTGGCTTTGAACTAGTGATCCTCCTGCCTCAGCCTCCCAAGCCGCTGGGATTACAGATTTGTGTGACTGTTCTTGCCCCGCTTTCATATTAATTTTGAAACAGGGTCTCCCTATGTGCCCAGGCTTCTCTGGAATTTGGGCTCCTCTTGCCTCAGCCTCCCAAGTAGCTGTGATTACAGGTGTGTGCCACAGAGCCTTGGAGCATGCTTTCCTTTTTCATGCCATGTATTGCAAAAATTTTTGTACGTTGTTGTCTTTTACCTTCCTCTATTTTCGTAGATGTAAATTGTTCCACTTATTTTTTTAGGAAATATTACTTTTTAAATTTGGAAACACTATTTTCTATGTTTAAAAGATATTTGTGGCTTCTCAAACTATTCCAGTATTGTTTTTCTGGTTTTACTGTGTAATCTGTGTTTCATCCTTGGAGTAGAGGGGAACACATTGCCTGTCCAGATAACTTTTTGTCCCTCTCTCAACTAGAGAGAGAATGGGGTGTCTGCCACTGTTGTGCCACGCCTGCTGTGTCATGAATCAATTCTCTGTCCACATGTGGGATGACTGACTGTTCTTTTCTTTTTCAAGATCTGTTAGGCAATCTTTCTGTTAATAGTGTAGTCTTCCAAACTGTGTGGCTTCAAAATGTTTTATGTATATTAGCCAAATGATCAGTTTCTTATTCTAATGAGTTTAAATGTTGTTAGACATTAAGTACACCTAGAGGATTTGATAAGCTGGTTTTTTTCCTGTTTTCTTTCCACTTTTTTTTTTTTTCCTTCCGTTTGGGTAATGATTGCTACAGGCCCTAAAGCACTGAGCAATATCCTTACCCTTTGAAAAAAAATCTATTCATTTCATTTATTTTTAATTATTTAAGACCGGGTCTTGGTAAGTCCAAGTTGCTGAGATTATAAATGTATGCCACTGCTGCAGGCATGAACTGTTTTTGGTTGTCCTAGTAAAAGTCTTGTTATTGACATTTTGCAATTTTATACTTTCATTTACCAGTTACATCTTGGTGACAGTGAAATCTTTCTAAGAACATGTACACTTTTCCCCTTATTTTATTCTGCTCTGACATTCTCCAACCAAACCTTTAATGATTACCTATTAGTCTACTGAATTATAATTCATGAGTCTTATTTACTATTTAATTCTGATTGACATACAGAACCTAAGGTACAGGCTTCCAGTTGTGGTCCCTTTGTACAATCCCAAGGATGTACTGGATTCCCTAAATAATGAGTTGTAAAAAGAGGTTTCAAATTCGATCTGACATACCAGTCCACTAGAGATTCATCATCCAGAGTGTGTTTTGAGGACTGATGAGATGGACAACCTCTGTCAAGCATACAGAATATTGAAAACATGTAGAGGACCAACAGGACTTACAGGCTGCATTTTGTTGGGACAACCTGCTTGGGAACCCCAAACCCCTCCTGCAGTTAAGCTGGTGAAGTTCATCCCAACAGTAGTTCCCAGAGAGCAACATAGATCAAAGTTTGTTCCCAAGTATTTCTAAGAATATGCTATCTCAGGACAGCTACTGTTATTATGTGCAGTACATGTTGGACTTTGATGTGAGAGGTACTGGAGACCATGGTACAAAGAGAATTGGAGAGACCCAGCAGCACAGCCAGTGTTCCTGTTCTCCCTGTTTCTCTACCAGTAGGTGCAATTAAGCACCAGAATTGCTATGTGAGCCTGGCTGGAGAGTAAGAGTGTGACACCAGGTGATGGAGTATTGGGAGGACATAATATCATGTGAAATTTTCACACAGTGAGTGCAGATCTCCAGTGCTATGTGTCTCACCTTCCTTCTGGGAATATCTGGGATGTTTTAGGAGTCAGTGACTTTTGAGGATGTGGCTGTGAATTTCTCCCTGGAGGAGTGGGCTCTGTTGGATCCTTCCCAGAAGATGCTCTTCAGAGATGTGATGCAGGAAACCTTCTGGAACCTGACCACTATAGGTAAGGGTGACATTTTTCCCCTCACTTTGTCAATCAGAGAACGGTTATTACTTGCTTATGAGTTCTGTTCCATGATCTGGAATATGGAAAACCTACATGCTATACTAGCATGGTGACATTATATAACAGATCTGCAAGACTCCGATAGTTTTTTCTGTAATGTTGAAATAAGTCATAATGTTTCTGGGTCTGCATTTTAGGAAAACAATGGAAAAATCAGGCCAACGATGATCACTGCAGTTCCAAGGGAAATCTAAGGTAATTGAACTCACAAGTGAAGGCAATGTTCCTCACAAATCTGGGAGTAACTTATAAAAAATCATAAAAAGAAGGAAATGATACATGCCAAGGTTCAAATTAATTTAATCTCCATTTTCTTACAACAGTCCATATAGGTTGAGCATGCATAATTGGAATGTTAAAAATCCAAAATGTTCCAGTGCAGGCAGCATCTGGAACAGACTTGGTGTCATAAGTGACACTTTCTGGTAGTTTATCGTACACAGACTGTTTTCCATACACAATTTATTAGACATGTATGAAATTACCTTCAGGTAGGACCCATTTTGAAAATGTTTTACTGTGTATATGCAAATATCACAAATCCAATCTGAGTTTTGTCCCATGCTTTTCACATAAGTAGTGATCAGTTATATTCACAAGTGATAAACATCTTCAGGGTTAATAAAATCTTAACTTGACAGGATTATTTAGAAACCTGAATTTGGTGGTGGTGCATACCTCTAATCCCAACAACTTGGAAGGCTGAGGGAGAAGGATCATAAGTGGAAGGCTAGCCTCAGCACTTTAGTGAGGCTCTAAGCAACTTACTAAGAGGCTGTCTCAAAAAAATTTTTTTTCAAAGGACTGAGATGTAGCTCAGTAGTAAAGCTTACACAGCACAAAGTCAATTCTTCTACTAAATTATTAATAAATAAATCCTTGGTAACGTCATTTTCATTCTTTGCAGAATTCAAGTTTTAGAGAGATTCTATGAACAGAAAAAAGATGGTCAATGTGGAGAGGTCCTCAGCCACATCATAGATCCTCTTGAAAACAAGATACGTCCTTCTGGAGTAAAACCAAGTGAACATCATGTGTGTGGAGAAGTCACCATTGCTGATCCATCCCTAGTTGTGCCCCTGACAGCTCACACTGGACACAGAGCACATGAGTATCAGGAACATGGAGAGAAGCCATATGAATATAAGGAAGATGGGAAAGCCTTGCATGATCCCCAGCATTTTCAGAAGCATGAAAGAACTCACACAGGAGAGAAACCCAATGTGTGTAAGCACTGTGGAAAAGCCTTGCGTTGTCTCAAATCTCTTAAAAGACATGAAAGAAATCACATAAGTGAGAAACCCCATGTGTGTAAGCACTGTGGAAAAGCCTTTCGTTCTTCCAGCTACATTAAAATTCATGAACGAATTCACAGTGGAGAGAAACCATACAATTGCAAACAGTGTGGAAAAGCCTATCGTTTTTACTATGACCTTCAAATTCATGAACGGAATCACAGTGGAAAGAAACCCTATGTGTGTAAGCAATGCGGAAAAGGCTTTAGTTCTTCAAGCCGCATGAAAGTACATGAACAAATTCACAACAGAGAGAAATCCTATGTGTGTAAGCAATGTGGGAAAGGCTTTAGTACTTCTAGATACATGAAAAGACATGAACTAATTCATAGTGGAGAGAAACCCTATACATGTAAACAATGTGGGAAAGCTTTTCATTTACATAGATCCCTTCAAATACATGAGATAACACACAATGGACAGAAACCCTATGTATGTAAGCAGTGTGGAAAAGGCTTTCTTTCCTCCAGCTCCATTATCAAACATGAACGAAATCACAGTGAAGAGAAACCCTATACATGTAATCAGTGTGGGAAAGGTTTTCCATTTCTCAGTTCCCTTCACATGCATGAACTAATTCACAGTGGAGAGAAGCCCTATAC